TGCAAGTAACTTTAAGCCCTATGTTGACCAAACTTGCATGGATGATACATCTTAGGATGCACACTAATGGACTTGCTTCAGATGCTGAATTCGACATACATTTTCCAGATAATAGACCTCGTAAAAGTTATGGGTGCAAGTCTATCACCAAGAAACTATAAGGCTTATATAAACCAGTTGCACAAATGATGCATCAAGGGATGAAAACTCTCAATCTTGCTTCAGATGCTGGATTTTAATTACATTTTCGTGATGAAGAACTAGTTTTAAGTTTTTATAAAGGTCAATTCCAAAGTATCAAAATTGCATAAATTTTGCATTTTTGGATATACACTTTTTGTTGGTTAATTGTGTGACTTAATTTGCCTTACTTAAAAGACAACACACGTTGAGGTGAGCTCTGTAATCTCTGATTACCTATGTTTTAAAATACAAGTTACATAGTAGTTATAAATTATATCAATCGATAACACAGGGTTCAAAATGCATAAACCAATGAGAAAAAATTTCTGTTTACACAAATTTGAACATCCTCTTTACTTTTAACTTCCAAGCAGCCAACTCATACATGAAATATAATTTTTTTTGGAGTTTTGAAATTGACATTCAGTGTAAGGTTATAAACGCTATCATATAATAATGTTCAACTGATATTGTATATCATCTCCATCAGTATTTTACAGTTTGTTTAATTTTATATTAATTCTCTGCCTAGAGGCAATTATATACAACACCTAACGTTATTGTAAAACTGATCATAAAAAAATAACACAGCTTATTCCATAACAATGTTATTCCAATAAAAATGATTGTATGCAATTTTTACACATAGTTTCTTCCATATAATTACTTCAATTGGTCATGATTAAAACAAACATGGTATTTAATATTTTAATGCATGGTTATGGCGGATCTTTTACATGTATTTGATTTTCTTCACTTTACCACTGCTCCACTCAGCCACAAAGAGGTTGTCTCTGGTGTCTACACATAAACCCCATGGATAGTCTAGATTACAGTTATCAATGTAATGGAGGAACTGTCCATCCTGATCTAGGATGTGGATACGGTGATTGTAATTTTCTGCAGTCAGGATGTGACTCTGGCTGTCTGTTGTGATGCCATATGGAAAGAATGATTTCTTGGTAGTAGAGGGATGACCAGTGTATCTAAATCGGAGTTTTCCTGCCTGATTAACCACCACTACTGCACGGGCTCCACAGTCAGCCACACAGATATCCAGGTTCCTGTTCTCACTGATGTATTTAAGGACACCAGAGGAATACAGAGGTTTACCTTCACTATCAAACTGAATGGTTTGTTTCTCTGTGGAGCCAGAGTAACAGACAACTTTTGATTGTTTATTATCATCACTGTTCATGGTAACCAGGAGGTCACCAGAGGAGGTACTACAGATGTTGTAAGGTTTCCACCCCTGTAGTCTGATCACTTCCTGTATCTGTTTATTCTTCGCTATGTTTACAGTTTTTGTACCAGGGTCTGTATAAAGTAGATCTCCACTCTTTGTCACTGCTATGTCACGTGGTTCATTCCCAGAATTGGTTTGGATTGACTTCAGTAGTTTGCCCTGGAGGTTGTAGAGTTTCATGATTTTGTCATCTCCACCTGTCCAGATTTCTTCATCACTGAGACAGGTAACACTGTATTGTCCGTATTTATACCCAGTGTCTATGGTGGTGATGAGCTCTGGTTCATCAAGCAGTGGTTTGACTGGAGGACAGGATACAGCTTCTGGTGTCTCCATTGTGTAGCCATGTTTGCCTGTTGTAATGGATAATGCTGACAGAGAACCAAACATTTGATGGAGCTGTTCTGTGTTGATCTGATGAGAGGAGAAACTTGGTAATGAAACATTGACTTTAGGAGGCAAACTTCTGAACTCAGCATTCCTGGATTTGTATGCAGAGGTTAGGGAGACATCATTAGAGTCCAGTATTTCCTTTAGATTAACAATGCACTGTTTTAGTTCAGAAGTAATCTGTTTAATTTCTTTTTCTTGTTTATTTAGAGCAGCCAGGTGTTTAGATTTCATCTCATCAATTTCATATTTCTGTTTGTTGACAATGATGTTAATTTCTCTGTGCCAGTCTTCTCCTTGTTTGGTGACAGCTGTTGTCAGTTTCTCATAATGTTTCTCCAAGTTTTCTTTTTCAGAGTTTAAAACTGATGCAATTTCTTCATATATAGGAAAGATTGTTTTCTCTAGTTCTTGTAAGTCTTTTTTAAAATACTTTCTTTTAGAACTGAGTTTCTTCAGAGCATCAGATAAATCATGTCCTTTGTGTTTCCCAGAGGAGATGCAGGTAGAACAGACAGGAACGTCACATTTCTCACAGTAAAGTTCACAGTGTTTCTGGGTGTGGTTTGGACATTTTGGGTAGTTAGGGGTAGAAGTTCTGTGTTTGTATGGTACAACATTGTGTCTCTTAGAGGAATCAGAGAGATGTTTTCCAACACAGACTATACAGAGGTTTACATGACAAAGTTCACAGTGGCTCTGTAATGCAGCGGTTTGACACAGGTCACATAGGAGGATGTCTTGGGCACTTTTACGGGGGTCCATTATAGGAGTCAGTCACATGATGAAGGGGATGCTGTAAAATAGTGCATTAATTGTTACTCTTAATGAAAAGAAAAGAAAGAAGGGCAGATTTTCATATTAGCTCAAAATTGACTTGAATTAGTTAGTATTGAAAGGAAGGGATACCATACATGATGATATAGACAGCCCTTTATTGCTATACTGGATCACAATTCATTGAATGACATTTTCTATATGTCATTGAATAAAAATATTATAATTCTGAGAACTTTAAAATGAAACTGTGTTATTATTGAATATCACACCAATCCTGAGAAGAATAAAAAAAAATTAAAGTGTCTCACCTGTTGTTACAAGATGGCTTCCGTCCGATTCTGAGCAACTCGTAAAGTATAGAAGTGATTAACAATTTTGGTCACAAATTGAACTTCCTGGTCTGGTTTCTAGATTTTGACCCACTTTCATGTCACATGATTTAAATACCTGTACGCTATTGGGAGCATGCTTGAGGGTATTGATATCATTTGCAACAGTTGACAAAATTATAAAAGGCTACTGTAATTTCACAAATTTCATTGTAATATTCACACCTTTTCTTTGGATGTTATTAAATAGGTATGATAGCTTCAATGAAATTAAATAAATAAACGTTCTTATCGTTTACACATTCATGATACCAAATAAATACTACTACTACTACTTTATTTTATTTCAACGTTAAGAAGGTATATTTAACACATTGTACACATTACATATCGTATCTAGCCCAGTTACACTAAAGCATTGAAACCGGAAATAAAGTTGTAAGATTGACAAGTAATTACAACGTACTACTACGTGAAAGTCCAAGTAGTTTTTTCTATTTCAATATCCTTATGCCAGAATGGTTTAGTCAATTCTCCAAAAAACTCGCGAAATGGCGGAAACAGAGACAATCTCCCGCTTCAGATTTTCAAATATTAATATCTAGCGTTCAGATCAACCAATATTTAAACAACTTATATAGTAAGCTTATATAGAAGGTGTATAATATTCCAAAAATCAATGATAGATAATGGAAAACAAAAAAGTTAGAAAATGTTTTTTTTAATTCGCATTTCTAACGAATATTGACGAAATAAAAGGTCGCGTCCTGGATAGTAATCACGATCTATAATCCCTGAAAGTTTCACATTGATATCTTTTACCGTTCTTGAGATTAACTGCAGACAAAACTGCATTTTAAAATCAGAAAATTGTCCGTAACTTGGCACCAGAGAAAATTTTCCAAAAAATCTCTCGGATAAAATAACTTCAGATAACAACACATTGTTCCTGCAAATTTCATGAAAATCCGTCCAGTAGTCTTCGAGAAATTGCGTGCACAAAATTAGATGGTAGAAAAATAATAATAATAACTAGATAGATCTCGTTGCCAAACGAGTAGGTCTTACGTCCGATTTTTCGATAACATGAGATATGATTTTGACTATGATCTTTGTTACAAAATAATGATATCAAGACTTTTCTCCCTTGATGAAATTGTTTTGATATATTCAACAATCTCAAATACTTAAATCCAGGTCGCCAACGTGAATGAGCTTTTTTTTATCCCCAACGCGCAAACCATTAAGCTATTGGGAGTGCTGCCCTAAATATACTTGTGTATACTTTTGCAACAGTAGACCTGTTTAAGAATCATAAAAGGCAAGCCACTATTCCTAATTTCGCGCTAAACGCCACGAGTAAATATTCGCTCCTTTTCTTTGGACTGATCTATTAAATACGTGTGATAGCTTCAATGAAATTAAATAAAATAACCTTCTTATCGCCTTTATTTTATTTCGACGTTAAGAAAGTATATTTAATACATTATACACATTACATATCGTATCTAGCCCAGTTAAACTAAAGCAGTGAAACGGAAATTAAGTTTTAAGATTTACACTCAATTGCAACGTACTACTGTAACGTGTCGGATCTGAGCGGTCAGTAATTTGAAATTACCGAGTTTTACTATATGATAATGCAATATATACAGAAAATAATATGACACCTGCCTGGTGTCTTTAAATCAAATGACCTAAGTGCTTTGTATAATAATATATCTTCAGTTAATACCGGCACCTGCCTGGTGCCAATGATAATTGCCTCACTATACAACTGACTATATAAGTCAACATCTACCTGCCTGGTGCCTCTTGATCTAGCCTTTAACACCTGCCTGGTGTCTTACTGCTTACCAAGTTGCCTATATAACTCTAGCCAAGTGGCTACAATATACTTACAAAGTATGATTTAACTTTGTAAGAGCTTCTCTGTCCTAATGACAAACCTATAGCTAACGTCACTGACTACGGCAACTTTGCACAATCCGATTTGATCGATAAACCAATTGGTTTCTGTACCAAAGTAAAGACACAAGCAAGTTGGCTGTTGCCCCCTTGTATCTCAACTTAATCAATGATCATAAGTTATCAGATATCATATTGATAAAATACAACAGACTGCCTTTCTTTTAATTATCATTTTCTAACAGAACATATTTATCTATAATACTTGTATAATTCTTTTGTCAATTGACCAATTAATTACAATATTTACATTGATTAGCTATTATAATATAAACAAGTAACGGGAGGTTATATACTATAGTTATTTCACTACTACGTGATAGTAAGTATTAACATTTCATGTATCCTTATGTCAGAATCGTTTAATCAAACGCTCAGCTGCCTCCATAAACCCCTACTTGCGAAATGGCGGAGTCTACGGAGACAGCCGCCATTTTGGACCCGCTTCAGATTTTTGAATGTTAATATCTATATATTCAAACAGATTATATAGTAAGCATCATTGGAAAGGTCTCTATTACCCAAGCTTAAAATACTTCAAAAATATTGAAAGACAAAAAAGTTAGAAAAATCGACTTTTTAAATTCGCATCTGGTAACAACAGGAAGTACTGACGACGAACAAAAAGTTGCGTCCTGGATGGTAATTACGACGATCTATCATTCCTGAAAGTTTCATTTTGATGTCTTTTACTGTTTTTGAGAAAATCCGTGGACAAAATGTCATTTAAAAATCAGGAAATGTCCCGTAACTTGGCACCGGAAGGGTATCTTCTAAAAATCTCTCAGATAAAATAACTTCAGATAACAACACATTGTTTCCATAAATTTCATGAAAATCCATCCAGTAGTCTTCGAGAAATCGCGTGCACAAAATTAGATGGTCAGAAAAATAATAATAATAAGAAACAGTAGAATCACTATAAGGTCTTCCGTGAGGATGGAAGACCTTAATAAGAAACAATAGAATCGCTATAAGGTCTTCCGTGAAGACGGAAGACCTTAATTAAAATGTCTCACCAGTTATTAGAAGATGGCCGTCTCAGCTACGTATATAGACAAACAATCAACTTCCTGGTCTTGGTTCTAGATTTTGACCCACTCTCAGGTCACATGATTTAAATACCTGTACTTGCGCATTATAATTATTGAGGGTATTGATATCATTTAGCTTGACAAAGTAACTATATGAGAAATATTATCCTAATGTTAATTAAATAATTTTAATAGTTACACTTCACAATTTATAGGAGAGAGTATCCTGATCTGTAAGCCGAGTGAGAGAAGTAAAGCCGTGACCTTAGTACAGTCTGAACTGCCACCTGTCAGGAGTTGTCTGATCAAACACCAAGGGGAACAACTCAGTTCTAGCATGAAAAGAGCCATACTAGAGGTTTGTTAATATGTAACCTGATTCCGTTTGTTATTGTGAATAAAATAATGGCAAAGAAATCATAGGTAGTTAATTTTTTTTGACTTGTTTTAATATTTTATGTTATACAGATAGTTGTCAGTGATGTCGTTATTATACACCCCCCCCCCCCTCCCACAAAAAACTCATATTTATAGTAATAAACAGTGTCAGTTACAGGGAAAATTTCTATATAAGACCTTTCTTGTGTGGTCTATTTCAGGCGCGGGGTATATAAAATGCCTCGTAATTTTAGCACCATTAACCTCTTCTAAATCACCATCTAAATATAGCTAGACCAGATTTGCACAACACGGTTTTAAATCGAAATTTTTATGCCCCGCCATGAATATGGCCGGAGCATATAGTGTTTGTCATGTCCGTCTTCCGTCCTTCCGTCCTTCCGTCCTTCCGTCCTTCTGTCCTTCCGTCCTTCCGTCCTTCCGTCACACTTTGCGTTTAGCTCTGTTCAAAGCTAAGTTTCAAAGAAACTATCCAAGATATTTTTATCAAACTTCATATGCTGATAGATATTGATGAGAGCTATGGTTCATCTAGGGATGAACACTACCAGACTTGCTTCGGATGCTGGATTTGACTGACATTTTCAAGACGAGTGACCAGGTAAAAGTTTTTGGAACAGGTCCATTCCTAAGGAACTATAAGCCATACTTGGACCAAACTTGCATGGATGATGCATCTAGGGATGGACACTACCAGACTTGCTTCGGATGCTGGATCTGACCTACATTTTCCAGATGAGTGACCAGGTTAAAGTTTTTAGAGCATGTCCATGCCTAAGAAACTATAAGCCATACTTGGACCAAACTTGCATGGATGATGCATCTAGGGATGGACACTACCAGACTTGCTTCGGATGCTGGATCTGACCTACATTTTCCAGATGAGTGACCAGGTTAAAGTTTTTAGAGCATGTCTATTCCTAAGAAACTATAAGCCATACTTGGACCAAACTTGCATGGATGATGCATCTAGGGATGGACACTACCAGACTTGCTTCGGATGCTGGATCTGACCTATATTTTCATTCCCAAGTAACTATAAGCCCTACCTGAACCAAACTTTCATGGATGATGCATCTTTGGATGGACACTACCAGACTTGCTTCGGATGCTGGATCTGACCTATATTTTCATTTCCAAGTAACTGTAAGCCCTACCTGAACCAAACTTGCATAGATAATGCATCTAGGGATGGACACTACAAGACTTGCTTCAGATGCTGGATCTGACATATTTTTATTCCCAAGTAACTATAAGCCCTACCGGAACCAAACTTACATGAATGATGCATCTAGGGATGGACACTACCAGACTTGCTTCGGATGCTGGATCTGACCTATATTTTCATTCCCAAGTAACTATAAGCCCTACCTAAACCAAACTTGCATGGATGATGCATCTAGGGATGGACAATACCAGACTTGCTTCGGATGCTGAATCTGACCTATATTTTCATTCCTCAGTAACTATAAGCCCTACCTGAACCAAACTTATATGGATGATGCATCTTTGGATGGACACTACCAGACTTGCTTCGGATGCTGGATCTGACCTATATTTTTATTCCCAAGTAACTATAAGTCCTACCTGAACCAAACTTGCATGGATGATGCATCTAGGGATGGACACCACCAAACTTGCTTCGGATGCTGGATCTGACCTATATTTTCATTCCCAAGTAACTATAAGTCCTACCTGAACCAAACTTGCATGGATGATGCATCTAGGGATGGACACCACCAAACTTGCTTCGGATGCTGAATCTGACCTATATTTTTATTCCTAAGTAACTATAAGTCCTACCTGAGCCAAACTTGCATGGATGATGCATCTAGGGATGGACACTACCAGACTTGCTTCGGATGCTGGATCTGACCTATATTTTTATTCCCAAGTAACTATAAGTCCTACCTGAACCAAACTTGCATGGATGATGCATCTAGGGATGGACACCACCAAACTTGCTTCGGATGCTGGATCTGACCTATATTTTCATTCCCAAGTAACTATAAGTCCTACCTGAACCAAATTTGCATGGATGATGCATCTAGGGATGGACACCACCAAACTTGCTTCGGATGCTGAATCTGACCTATATTTTCATTCCTAAGTAACTATAAGTCCTACCTGAGCCAAACTTGCATGGATGATGCATCTAGGGATGGACACTACCAGACTTGCTTCGGATGCTGGATCTGACCTATATTTTTATTCCCAAGTAACTATAAGTCCTACCTGAACCAAACTTGCATGGATGATGCATCTAGGGATGGACACCACCAAACTTGCTTCGGATGCTGAATCTGACCTATATTTTCATTCCTAAGTAACTATAAGTCCTACCTGAACCAAACTTGCATGGATGATGCATCTAGGGATGGACAATACCTGACTCGCTTCGGATGCTGGATCTGACCTATATTTTCATTCCCAAGTATCTATAAGCCCTACCTGAACCAAACTTGCATGGATGATGAATTTAGGGATGGACACTACCAGACTTGCTTCGGATGCTGGATCTGACCTATATTTTCCAAACAAGCAATTCAGCTGCATCACTATTCTGGATATTCTGATCAAATTTTAAACACATACTAATTTTCATGTTGCTTTACTGATATATCCTCGGCGGGGCATTCATGTCCTATGGACATATTTCTAGTTATATATACAGATAAACAGATTTATTAATTATGGGGTAAAAGTGAAACCCCGCAACATGGTTTTATACAAGGTCCCCCTAATTATACCCCCCGCAAACGAAGTTTGGGGGGGTATATAGGAATCACCTTGTCCGTCTGTCTAGCTGTCCGTCTGTCTGTGCAATCGTGTCCGGTCCATATCTTTCTTACAGAGGGACATTAGAATCTACTACTCCACACTAAGATTGCTCATGACCTAAGGGTGTGTCATGTCCTTGACCCAAGGTCATTTGGGGAAGTTCAAGGTCACTGGAAGAAGAATTTCATAATTCGTGTCCGGTCTATATCTTTCTTATTGATAAACTTGGTAGGTTCTCATTTCACACAAAGATTGCCCATGACCCAAGGGTGTGTCATGACCTTGACCCAAGGTCATTTGAGAAAGTTCAAGGTCACTGGAAGAAAATTTTCAAAAATCATGTTTGATACATATCTTTTATAGATAAACTTGGTAGGTTCTCATTTCACACAAAGATTGCCCATGACCCAAGGATGTGTCATGACCTTGACCCAAGGTCAATTTGGAAAGTTCAAGGTCACTGGAAGAAAATTTTCATAATTCCTGTCCGGTCCATATCTTTCTTATGGATAAACTTGGTAGGTTTTTATTTCACACAAGGGTGTGTCATGACCTTGACCCAAGGTCATTTGGGGAAGTTCATGGTCACTGGAAGAAAAATATCATAATTCGTGTCCGGTCCATATCTTTCTTATGGATAAACTTGGTAGATTCTCATTTCACACAAAGATTGCCCATGACCCAAGGGTGTGTCATGACCTTGACCCAAGGTCATTTGGGGTAGTTCAAAGTCACTGGAAGAAAAATATCATAATTCGTGTCCGGTCCATATCTTTCTTATGGATAAACTTGGTAGATTCTCATTTCACACAAAGATTGCCCATGACCCAAGGGTGTGTCATGACCTTGACCCAAGGTCATTTGGGGTAGTTCAAGGTCACTGGAAGAAAAATATCATAATTCGTGTCCGGTCCATATCTTTCTTATGGATAAACTTGGTAGGTTCTCATTTCACTGAAAGATTGCCCATGACCCAAGGGTGTGTCATGACCTTGACCCAAGATTATCTGGGGAAGTTCAAGGTCACTGGAATAAAAATTTCATAATTGGTGTTTGATACATATTTTTATTATGGAAAAACTTACTTCTGAAAAACCCAGCGGGGGGTATTTTGTCCCGTTTGGACAGTTCTAGTTTATAATGATTCTATATATATACTATATGTATGTCTGTGGGATATATATGTATATCACTTTACATTGAAGTTTTTATACTGTAGAAGCACAAATTTTCGTGAGGATAAAATTTCCTTGATTTGTCATCAACAATAGTTTCGTGGGCATTTAATTTCGTTGTTTTGAGAGTAAGCCTATTCAGAAATTAGTCATATAAAATTTCGTGTGAGATTTAATTTCGTTGACAATTGTTAACAACGAAATAAACGAAATTTAATCCCCCACGAATATTTGTGCTTTTACAGTATATAAATGTATATATTGGATATATATATATATATATATATATATATATATATATATATATATATATATATATATATATATATATATATATATAAAAGCCCCGGAACCTGAAACCCCAGAACATTGTTTTGTACGAGGTCCCTGTAACTGACATTATTTGTATATATATATAAATACATATATTTATTAATGAAAAAAACTTTAAAACAATTTTTGAAAATTTCAACCGTGTTACCAGCCTTCATCAGTTGTGTTTTTTAAATGCATAGCAACTCAACAACGAACACGACTGATGAAGGCTGGTAACACGGTTGAAATATTTCAAAAAGTGTTTTAAAGTTTTTTATTCTATTGACAATAAGAGATACATGTATCGCTGTTCTTTACACAGATCGTAGTCAGTGGTGTGGCGGTGTCTGTGACAGATGTGGCAGCCTGTCTCCTGTATATATCTATATTATTATTTTGTGTAATACAGATCGTAGTCAGTGGTGTGGCGGGGTCTGTGATAGATATGGCAGCCTATGCCTCCTGTATATATAATATATCTATTTTATACATTATTATGTGTTATACAGATAGTAGTCAGTGGTGTGGTGGTGTCTATGACAGATGTGGCAGCCTATGCCTACTGTATAAATCTATATTATACATTATTTTGTGTTATACAGATCGTTGTCAGTGTTGTAGCGGTGTCCATGACAGATAAGGCAGTCTATGCCTCCTGTATATATTATATATTATTCTGTGTTTATATAAAGATAGTTGTCAGTGGTGTGGCAGTGTCTGTGACCAATATGGCGGCCTATGCCTCCTGTACTTATTATATATCTATATTTTACATTATTTTATACTTAATACAGATAGTTGTCAGTGGTGTGGCGGTGTCTGTGACAGATGTGGCAGCCTATGCCTCCTGTACTATGTTATATCTATATATACATTATACAGATAGTTGTCAGTGGTGTGGCGGTGTCTGTGACAGATGTGGAGGCCTATGCCTCCTGTACTATGTTATATCTATATATACATTATACAGATAGTTGTCAGTGGTGTGGCGGTGTCCGTGACAGATGTGGCAGCCTATGCCTCCTGTACTATGTTATATCTATATATACATTATACAGATAGTTGTCAGTGGTGTGGCGGTGTCTGTGACAGATGTGGCGGCCTATGCCTCCTGTACTATGTTAGCGGCGTCCCTGGAGACCAGCTCTGACCAGACACAGGACATGATTGATGCCTGTATACAGTTCCTTCAGGACAATGAGTTTGTGTCTCTTCAGAAATCACAAACAGAAGGTAAGCATGGCAAAGTCATTCTCCTCAACAGAAATCAAACATTGTGCTCCTCAGATGGTTACATGTAGTGCTTTCAAATTTTTTAATTGAATGATATCTAAGGTATAAGTTAGTCTAAGATTAGGATAAAATTTTCTTTTTTCTGTGTCATTTAATACTCATGAAAGTACATGGTTCTTCTTGCTCCATAGGATGGGTTATTATATTACTCTCCTTGTGTAGATGTAATCACTTATGACAATTGTTTATTATAGTTGGTATGACTATGACAACAGAGGAAAGGTTTGTTCCCACACAGCTCGGTGCAGCTGTACTAGCTTCCAGTCTTTCTCCAGATGAGGGTCTGACTGTTTTTGCTGAACTACAGAAAGCTCGACAGTGTTTTGTTCTAGAGAATGAACTACACATAGTCTATCTAGTGAGTGTTGTGATGGCTAGAATTTTCAGTTTTGTCTTTGTAAAAATTGTTTTTTAATGGAACAGAGGTTTTTTTTACCAAATTACTTATGGCTCATTATTTTTAGGCAGTAGAAATTACAAGGAACACTAATGTCAGAAAATCTCTGTTTAATAGAAGAATTATCCATCATTGTTGTATAGATATTATAAATTACAATTATTATGATAATGTGATGAAAGGATTCCGAAATATTTAGGAAAATCACCCGTTATCTAACTTCATCATTCCAATGTTGTAGGTGACCCCCATATACTCCCTTGACCTGGGGGCTAACATGGACTGGTACAAGTTCTACTGCCTGTGGGACAAACTTTCCCCGGACAAGAAGAGAGTGGCTCAGCTGGTGGGGGTCAGTGAGGCATTCCTCACCAGGGCCATCCAGGGGAGGATACCAACTAAAACAGAGAACCAGTTAAGGAGTCTGGCCATACACAAGAGGTACGGTTGTATGGCACTATGCAACAGAATTCTTAATTATTGTTCGATTTGATGTACGATTAAACTGAGTTACAAGGAACAATAATGTCATAAAATCTCTGTTTAAAAGAGGAGTTATCTTTCTCCCATCTCCAATGTTGTAATGTTTTCTGATATGGATATAAAACTTTATGTCCCTGGAGTAAATCCTTAGATCAAGGTTTAGTGTACAGCAAAACTTCATGTCACATATTGGAATTTACGGATATAGAAGTCATCTTGGATTATATAAATTTAATGAATTTCTTGTACGGCTATAACGAATTACGGAAAGCTAATTACATAGGTCCTAGTGACTGGTTATAACCAAATGTTTTGCTGTATGTAGCTATAAGATGTTGAGAGGAAACTAAACACTGGTAGGGATACCAGAATTCTAGTGTGTGTAGAAATTTATCGGTATTTTATCTATGTGTACTAGGTTCTACACGTGCCTGATACTGAGTGACCTTGTACAGGAAGTCCCCCTGGGGGAGGTGTGTCACCGCTACAGCTGTAACAAAGGTCAGCTCCAGTCACTACAGCAGACAGCCGCCACTTTTGCTGGTAGAGAGTCTTACAAGTTTTATTATATAGCTTTCTTTTTCACACAAGCATGAAGTTAGTACATGTATTGAATCAGGTATATGAAACTTGTTATTGAATTATTTCTTTAGTTGAATAATGCTTCTGCTCTAGGAATGGTGACAGTGTTTTGTGGCAGGCTGGGTTGGTATAACTTGGAGTTGATCCTTGGTCAGTTCCAGCATCGTTTGACCTTTGGAGTCCAGAGAGAGCTGTGTGACCTTGTGAGACTGACCTTGCTGAATGGACAGCGGGCCAGAGTCCTGTACAATGGTGGCTTCCACACTGTGGCAGCTCTAGCTAACGCCAATGTCAGTGATGTGGAACTAATCTTCAAGAAATCCTCACCCTTTCAAAGGTAAACACTGAGCAGACTCAAAAATATATTGATCAGACTTCAAATTAGCTGATTTAATTGAAAGATTAAGAAAACTGCTTAGTTTTCCAGTTTTCTCAGCCAAAGCTTAAAGTGGTTTACTGACTTTATCCATTGTCTATTATGTTTGAAGTCAACTGTACTGTTTACATCTGCATCTTCTTAACTAGAATTACTTAACCATTTTCAATCAGACTTTACACAAAGTACAAATGAAAGCAATGTCCCATTCTAATAACAGATATCTTTTGGATGGATAGAGAATTGCTAAAATAAATTTCTTTAAAAGAAAATAAATTCAGGGCAATAATTATTGATATACATGTACATTCAAATATTTCTAATTGGCTAAAATTCAGATTCAGATTAGGCCATGCAATGTTAATTTCTTGGTTCTCAGGCCTTTTGTCAAGAAATATGATGAGGGAGGGAGGCATTTTTTTTTTTTACTTTTTATTGCCCCCCGAACATGATGAGTCAGCTTTTTACATTGTACAAAACCTCAAAAAATGATGAGGAAGGTGATTTGTTGTTTTTATTTCATTGGTTTAGCAATAAAAAGGGTCAATGAGGCACCCTTGGAAGAGATGAGGGAGGGCCTGAGAACCAAACGATTAATTTTTTATGGCCTTAGTTCAAATCATTTTTAGATGGACTGTTAATAAATATTGATATAATTATAATTTACAGCTCTGGGGGACAATATTTAAGTTATTCAAAGTTTGATTTTAATTTTTACCTCCTTATATAGAAAATGATTAATTGATTTAAACTTGGATTTTGATTTGCAGCTCCAAGCAACAGGACAATGAGACAGAGTGGGAGGCGACAAAGAGACAGGAGAGTCGCTGTATCTGGTTAACGGGGCGTAAAGGTGCAACAGAGCGTGAAGCCGCAGAGGCCATCATAGAGGAGGCCAAGTCAGTCATCCAACAGGAGCTGGGCGGACTGGGAATCCAGTGGAAAAATCCAGAATCCAGGGACATCCAGAAAGGAGGGTCAAATCTGGATCAGAGCAAAATGGAGTGTCAAGATGACAAGAGGGTTCAGGGTTTAAACCGAAGTCATAGTGGTATGACCTTGGTAAAGCCCAAGGGAAGGAGGTCAGTGGGGAAAAGAAAATCAGTGGGAAAGAAAAGTCCTGGACTCTCCAAGTCTGGGATTTCTAATGGAGATGATTCCAGAGTAATAGAGAAGTCTGTTGTAGTCAGTCCACCTGGCATCAGAATACAAGGGAACACACAGGGACACAAGAACAAAACAATCACATCTGATAGTATGGGAAGCATGAATGATGATTTGAAAGGGGGAAAAGAAGATTGTACTAAATCGATGACAAAACTTACAACCACAGCAGAAGTTCACCATGTTCCACCAAATCCAGTGGGAAAAAACTGTTCTGTTCCTCAAATACACCATTCTGAGTCTTGTGAAGGAACAAATAAAGAGATGCTACTGGATAAAGTTGAGAAACAACGAAACTCCAAACAAATGGAAACATCTTCTGCCAAGACATCTGAAATTTCTTCAGGTACGATTGAAGACATATCAGGAAATGTTCACCCACTAGCTTTCCCTAAGAGTACAACTGCCTCTAGTTCAAATGCACCCATTTCTCCATGTTTAGATACTTATTCTTCAGTTGCTTCTTCTACTAATGCCATCAAAATCCCAGCATTGTCATCTGATTTAACCAACACATCAGACAATGTAAATCATAGAAAAGACAACAGAGGAAATTCTGATTGGAAAGTCTCTTCATTAGGCTTTCATGAACCTGACTGTCTGAGGAATCCTGATGATACAGCAAAGACAAATAACAAACAAACTCCAGCCTTCAATCAAGGATCAGATATAAAAACTCCTCTTGTACAGACAAATCAAATAAATCAATCGTCTATGGAGAATTTGAAAATTCATTCGAGTTCTAAAGAAGTGGAGGGAAAGAGTTTGAACAAAAATTCTAAAGAAAACAAAGAGAAAGCTTTTGATGATATGTTTTGTTCAGGGGATTTTACAGATAGTTTTGTTTTTGAATCTCAGATGGATGTAGGTCAAGTAGATTTCCCAGCATTGGCTTCTGTGGCTTCAAAGGAACCAGTGCCCAGTACAAATGATAAAAAATCTGGGTCAGATTCAGAAAAAGCAGATATTGGTTCAATTAATGAAGTAGAAAGACCGTCTTCTGAAAAGAAAAGTTTAAATAAATGTTTGCAAGGAAAAGATTTGTCCAAGGTGAGAATTTGTGCTCAAGCATCCAGCCGTTTTACAGAGGAACCAAATAATAAGGTTAGTTACATAAAAGACAAAGAAGTAAACTGTGTGATACCTGTGTCATGTGAAAGTGCAGATGGTAGTAAAAGAGAGAAAAATGGCAAGTGTGAAAATGGAATTGAAGATAATGCTATTAGTGAATTCAATGATAAGTGTGATAAAGATTTGAATCTTAGCAGCAGTCTGCTGATGTCACATGACATATCATGTGACCTGTTACCAGCCAGTAATTTTGAGAGGTGTATGATGTCAGATGACGAATCAGATGTCAGTAAAAATGAGTCATACAGGGACCTCAGAATTCCTTATCTTAGTGGACAGGAGGCATGTTTTCATGGCAGTGATAAAAAAGAAAAAGGTCCCACTCAGGTAGGCTACAGCCAGCTGTCACAGGACTTGATGCTGGCACTGGAACTCAGTGATACATTCAATGAGGACAGTGATGGGACACAAACTAAAAAGTCATCAGAACCAGGCAATCTGTCAAAGCGTGGGGAAACAAATGTTAAGAATTCAAGAAATTGTGAAGTGATAGTGAATACATCTGATCAAGAAACAGGAGGGAGAGAGACAAGTGATAAGGCAGAAGAAATGAGTGACTCATTAACATTTTCCATGGTTAATGAAGTATTAGAAATAAGTGATATGGGACAGTGCAATAAAAAATCAAATGTAAAATTGAGTGATTCTAAATATACTAAATTGAAAACAAGAGGGGCATCACAAGTTAAAGACAAGAAGCTGAGTCCAGGGACACTAGCATTCCTTGATGATCTTCACACCAGTATAGACACCGACAGTGATACATTAGTGGGGAAATCACCTTCTCCAAAAAAGGTCTCTTCTCAGAAAACTAAACATAAAAACACAAATAAGAATTTAAACAGCCAAGGAAAAACCGATGGTAGAAAATGTAAAAGAAAAAGTTTAGAGAAGGCTGAAGGAGGTAAAGTTAAAAAACCTAAAGAAGATAAAACCAGAACTAATGAGTGTCTGTCCCCCACCCCTCCAAGGCCAGGTCTTCTAAACTCCCCAAGGACAATTGGAAAGACCACTCCCAATAGTCTGAGGTCTAAGGGTCAAAATGCCAGCACTGGAAGGGCCAAAAAATGTATTGACACTTCTGACGCTTCAAAGAAAAATGAAAATATAGTGGTGGAAAATTGTGAAGGTGATGAAGTACCTTATGAAGAGAGAGGGCCTGTAGTGGACCCTAATGAGACAGGCCTCCCTCCATCTCAGGGGTCCTTCACTATTATAGATGTGTGTGCTGATGGTAGGTTGTTTGAGACGTTCCTTGCTGAGTGGAGGACACAGTCTGTGTTCTCTTTATCTGTGGCCTGTAGGACCAAGCCGTCCTCCTCAGTCTCCTCTTCTGCTGGAGGACAAATAGGAGCCAAGTTTTCTAAAGAAGGGACAACAGATAAAAGTAACAGAGGAATGGGATTCAGTGTTGGCAATTTTCTCTCAAAGTGTTGTAAGATTTTTGTTGAAATGTTGTTGCTTACAGATCTGGGGTTTTTTTTGTCTGTTTTGCTTCAAATTGGATCTTTCTTTATGCTGTATGAAACATTAACTTAATTGTATTATTAAATTCCACACATCAATACATGTACAATGTACCTCTACACTATAATATACATACATGTACAGTGTTCATGTTACAGACAAGGAGCCTGGAGTGGTCTCCCTTGGATTACCTGTCACAGGAACTAACCTGTTAATTACAGGTGTGTCAATCAGCTGGGAAGACAGAGATGCTTATTTCATTTCCTTGACCCCAGGGAATGCAGAGGGTATGTGTGTCTTTTGTCTTCATTAATATGAATGGTAAAAAGAAATTGAAGATCTCAAGTTTAAAGTATTCTGATTAAATTTTTTAGAGGAAAAAGTGTAATACTTATATTTGTAGAACAGAATGGTTTCTGGTGTCATAAACCATCACTTGAACTAACATTCAGAAAAAATTTTCAAACTCAATATTTTAAAACATTTTTCAATTAGGACCTAGTTAATAGAGTATCAATCACCTGCAGATACATAAATGTATATATACAGGTAACAGATTATTTATATAGATTATGATATTTTCTGCAGATGAAGATGACCTTGACCTCTCACCCCCTGACCTTGATAAATCTCTCTCAGTGTCAGCTCGTCTGGCAGCCATTAAGCAGTCACTCCGAAAGACACAGTGACTTTCACTTCTAGTGCCGAGAGCTTGGCAAGTGATAGCTATCATGCCAAGTCCTGGTATGACCGGCCCTAGAGAGAATCTTCCGGGCCACGAAGGTATCTAAGTTTTACCGTAGAAATTATACCATTACTTTTTTTTTCAAAATGTAACATTCAGGTAGAAAATTTTCTGGAATATTTTAAAACATTTTTAGCTCACAGGGGCCAGTCGAGAAGAATTAAATCATACCCCCGGCGTCGGTCCATGTCGGCGTTACTCGGCGTCCCAGGTTAAAGAAATTATAGGAGCAAGTCCATCTCTCGTGTATAAGGTTAACCAAACTTGCATGGATGAAACATTTGTAATAGCATGCTATGCTTATTTTTAAAGTTTTTGGAGCAGGTTAAAAATTTTGGAAAATTCTTTTCAAGAATTAAAGCCCTGGACCAAACTTGCATGGAGGATGCATCTACGGATGTACACTTTAAAATCTGCTGGATCTGATACATTTTCCAGATAGTGAAGGTTAAAGTTTTTGGACAGTGTAGTAGGTCTATTCCTAAGGAACTATAAGCTACCTGTCCAAACTTGCATGGATTGCATCTAAGGACACTACAAAACTTAGCTTCGGATGCTGGATCTGACCTACATTTTTCATATATGACCAGGTTAAAGTTTTTGGTGGAGTCCATATGGGAGTAAACTAGTAAGCCTTATTTCAAACTTGCATAGATGATGCATCCTAACATGGACACTACCTTGACTTTTTCGGATGCTGGATCTGACCTACTTTTGCATTCCCAAAACTATTTTAACTCCTCTGTCTGAACCAAAGTTGAATATCTAGATGTAGTTTTTCCCAAACTATTTCGAGATGCTGGATAATGTTCATTTTCAGTAGATCCCTTTTTGGACTAAATGGATTTGGTTAAGGATGCTTTCTAGGATAAGTGATGTCAATGTACACTAAAACAGGCTCTGACTGATGCTGGATCTGTACATTTTCATTGATGTAACTATGCCCTACCTGAACCAAACTTGCATTGCTGATGTTCTAGGGATGGACATTATCAAACATTGCTTTCAACCTACATTTTCATTCCCATAATATAGGCCCTTTAAAACCAAATTTGCATGGATGATGTAAAGTATAAAAAAAATTTACAGGTTTGCTGGATCTGAGGAGTAGTAAAGACAAACTTGCATGATATGATATATTCTGGGATGAACTAAGAATTGCTTCTGCTGGATCTGACCTACATTTTCATTCCCAAGTAACTATCTACCTGAACCAAACTTGCAACGGAAGATGCATCTAAGGATAGGACACTATCAGATGTGCTATCCTGATGCAGGGTCTGAAAATATATTTTCCATACAAGAGACCAGGTTTTAAAGTTTTGGGAACAGAAACATCCTTTATATCTGCAGTTTAGGCAAAGTTAAGAATATTTGTCAACCCACTTTACATGTTTTTCACGCTACACAAAAGAATGTTATATGCCAGGTAAGGGGTTATGTTATAAACAACTTGCAAGAATATTGTTGTTGGGATGAATACTAAATATTTTAAGAAAATATTATGTGAGATTTTTATTACATAAACTATAACATTTTGTCAGGTGCTCTTTTAATCTTTGATTACCTATGTTTCAATTAGGACTTAGTTAATAGAATATCAATCACCTGCAGATACATAAATGTATGTCTACAGGTAAAAGATTATATATGGAATATTATATTCTGCAGATGAAGATGACCTTGACCTGTCACCCCCTGACCTTGATAAATCTCTCTCTGTGTTGGCTCGTCTGGCAGCCATTAAACAGTCACTAGAAGATAGAGACAACTACACAGTGATGGCTATGGATGCCAAGTCCTGTTATGGGGCCCTAGAGAGGGGCTGTGGTATAAGTTGCCGTGGGAAGTTTCAGGACCCGAAGGTAGCCAGCTGGATAATGGACCCAGGGGCCAATGAGAAGAATCTTCATCGCATGGTCCATGACTACCTCCCTTTAGAAGCATTTCTCCTAGAAGGTTAATCATAGAAATTTTAATAGCATATGCTTATTTTTGTATTTTTTTTTCAAATGTAAGATTAAGAATTGTATTGCTTTATTTAAAATCTTATCAATAGTCTTTGATAGAAATACTTACAAAGCTAATCTAAGAATGTTTGTTAAGTACATAACAGACAGCTGTATATATGTTTTCCTGTAGGTATTGGTGGTGGAGTAGGCTATGGGAGTCTAGGAATGTCCCCAGAGAACCCTGGGTCGGGTCGGCTTCGGGCCTGTACCGAGGCGGTCCTACTGACCCACTTAATGCAGTACCTCTCTCTCTGTCTGACCAAAGAGAACCTGATGTCAGCCTTCCACGACATTGAGATGCCAGCTGTTATCACTCTGTCTCGTATGGAGATGAATGGATTTGGTAAGGACCTTTTCGTAAGAAAGTGATTCTGTACACATACAGGAAAACAGGCATCTGACTGATGATGATCTGTTATTGATTAATTTTGTTCATGTAGATGTTCACCTGCTTCCAAAATCTTTTCTAGACTAATCAAACATTTTCATCAAAGTGAATTGGGAAAATAATATCTTTTTTAAAAAGTCAATTCCACAATATTAAAGTATAAAAAAAATTATACAGGTTTTAATGATGAGGAGTGTGAAAGACAGAATACAGTGATGATAGAACGACTGGGTGAACTTGAGACTGAGGCCTACCAGCTAGTGGGGCACCAGTTTTCTCTGACTTCAACGGAAGATCTGTCTCAGGTTAGGTTTAATCTGTAACCTTTCTATAAACTTAATGTCTATCCTGATCAGGGTCTTCATAAGGGTAGTTAAAAGAGAAACATCTCTTTTTCTTCCGAGTAAGAATATGAAACCCACTGACAGGTTCTATTTATAGAACTATATCTCTTTGACAGGTACTATTTATAGAACTATATCTCTTTGTCAGGTGATATTTTAAGAACTATATCTCTTTGTCAGGTGCTCTTTATAGAACTACAGCTCCCTGTTAATGGTGACCCTAGCAGTCTGGGACAGCCTACCAGACCCAACAGACGGGCCCCCACAGGTCGTAGAGGCCGCCAGAAGACCCAGTTTTCTACCAGTAAGGATGTCCTGGAGAAACTGCGTCCCTACCACCCGCTCCCTGGGGTCCTCCTGGAGTGGCGCCGGATCAGTGGGGCCCTGACCAAGGTGGTGTTTGCCCTGCAGAAAGAGAAGGCGTACGTGGAGAGGTTGAAGATGTACAGGATATTTACAGATGTCCAGTACTTCTCAGCCACAGGACGGGTCAGTCTGTCTGAACCTAACCTACAGAACGTCCCAAAAGATTTCCAGATCTCTGCCTCAGGTTTGTTTTCCAGTCTAAATGTGCCATTGATCTCTCTGAAAAAATTGTCAGAAATGAGACTGTATGGGATAAAGTTTTAAATTGATGCAATTAAGTTTTTTGATTGTCATTGTAAGATGGTAAGATGGTATTAAGATCTTTAGGTATTCTGATGTGTTAGGATTGTACAAATAAACCTTTGTATATTTAACAGATGGAGTGTGCTAGTCCTCTAGGCAGGACCCGTAACTCTGTAAGGAACCAAACCAGAGTTCTTCAGATGACAACTGACCTTTCATTCAACGTCAGCATGAGACATGCCTTCATCCCTTTTCCAGGTAGCATTAATTTGTTTTTATTTAATATTTATTATTATATTTTATGTACAGATAATAATGTAGATCCAATATTATTAAGGATAAATATTATTTGGATTTTATCATTTTAAAAGTTTTTTTAAAAACCCAAAGATACAAGTTGATTAACTGTAAACCTAAAATTGTGAAGAAATGTTAATGTAACTTTGAGATAACTACATGAACTTCTTTAGATGTGCACTTCTGAATACATAAGATGGAATGATTTTAAAAATGTTGCCCATTCTCTCTTGGCAAATCATAAATTATATGCATGTTTAATGTAGGGGGAGTTTTGCTAGCGGCTGACTACTCTCAGTTGGAGTTACGCATGATTGCACATTTATCCCAAGATGCCAAGCTGATACAGATCCTGAACGGTGACGGAGACGTTTTCAAACTGATCACGGCTCAGTGGAAGTCAATCAGCGTGGAGGAGGTCACTCCAGAGGAGAGACAGCAAGCTAAACAGGTGAGAGGTCACAGGGTAAAAAGGTCAGAGAGACAGCAGGCTAAACAGGTTAGGGGTCATGGGGTCAAAAGGTTATTCTAAAGAGATGAGGGTCATGGGGTCAAAAGGTCAGAGAGACAGCAAACTAAACAGGTGAGGGGTCATGGTTTCAAAAGGTTATTCTTAACAGGTGAGGGGTCATGGGGTCAAAAGGTCAGAGGGACAGCATGCTAAACAGGTGAGGGCCCATGGGTCAAAAGGTTAATCTAAACAGGTGAGAGGTCATGGGGTCAAAAAGATATTCTTAAAAGGTAAAAGTCACAGGGTTAGTAGTTTAATCTAAACAGGTGAGGGGCCATGGGGTCAGATTGTTAATCTTCACATGTGAGAGAATGTTTGGGGTCAAAAGGTCAATCTAAACAGGGAATATAAGCTAAATCAGGTCTCTTGTAGTGTATGAATATAATTTGCTGCTGAAAAAATGTCCCCTTCCCAATCTATTGTTTTATTGTCTTCATTTAGATCTGCTATGGTAAGATATATGATATTGTTTGTATACAGAACTGCTAGGGTATGGTCAGTGATACTGTTGTTTTAACATGAATCTGCTCAAATTGGTACAATCTGTAGTATGTTATCTTTATGCAGATTTGATATGGTATGATCTATGGTATTGTTGTCTTTATACAGATTTGCTATGGTATGATCTATGGTTTTGATGTCTTTATACACTTTATTCAGATTTGCTATAGTATGATCTATGGTATTGTTGTCTTTATACAAATTTGCTATGGAATGATCTATGGTATTGCTGTCTTTATACAGATTTGCTATGGTATGATCTATGGTATTGTTGTCTTTATACAGATTTGCTATGGTATGATCCATGGTATTGTTGTCTTTATACAGATTTGCTATGGTGATCTATGGTATTGTTGTCTTTATGATTTGCTATGGTATGATCTATGGTATTCTTTTTATACAGATTTGCTATGGTATGATCTATGGTATTGTTGTCTTTATACAGATTTGCTATGGTATGATCTATGGTATTGTTGTCTTTATACAGATTTGCTATGGTATGATCTATGGTATTGTTGTCTTTATACAGATTTGCTATGGTATGATCTATGGTATTGTTGTCTTTATACAGATTTGCTATGGTATGATCTGTGGTATTGTTGTCTTTATACAGATCTGTTATGGCATGATCTATGGTAATGTTGTCTCTATAAAGATTTGCTATGGTATGATCTACGGTATTGGTGCCAAGGCACTTGGTGAGACATTGGGAGTGGATGAAAATGATGCAGCAGTTTTTATGCAGACCTTCAAGTCCAAATACCCTGGTATGATCATGATGATGTTAACTGTAGAGATTGACAAAAATTGAAATCAATGTAGAATGTGAAATACTAAATTATGTTTAAGGAATGAGGCGATACCTTAAGAACACCGTGGATAAATGTATCAAGGACAAGTTTGTGGAAACTATCAGCGGGCGACGACGGTATCTACCATCCATCTCAAACACAAACCCCTATGTCAGGGCTCACGTAAGTAACACAAACACCTATGTCAGGGCATATTATTTAAGTAACACATATTAATGTCTGGGCCTATGCTAGTAACACAGCCCCTTATGCAAAACAATGTTATCTTATCAAGGTCTTATAACTTAATCCTTTCCCTCCCAGGCAGAGAGACAGGCTGTTAACACCACAGTTCAGGGATCAGCTGCTGACCTTGTCAAGGTCGCCATGAACAGGATTGATCAAAGACTCTCAGAAATATTTCCTCTCTCACAGAAATCACTCTCACACAAGGAACAAGGCAAGTTTATATATCTTCAATGTATATTTATTAAAAACCTGAAAAATTATTGAGTAAGATTTTACTGGTATTTGTTTGAAATAAGATGACCAACAGGACTGGTGCTTAGGCTCTCGTATTACATGTGTTCATTCCTTATGATAAAACTTTTCAGTTGGTAGTGTGACCTTGAACTGTATTTGTAAAATTAAACTTGACCATAAGCTGCTAAGCAAGGGAGTCAGTGACCATAAGCTGCTACACAATGGATTCAGTGCTTCACTAACACCTCTATGTAAACTTGATTTAGTAGATTATCAATTCAAAGCAACTGATAACCAAGTTTTAGTACTTATCATATTTTGTTGGATTTAGGTCCTACTGTTGATTTATCTGATGACAGATGTTGTTTAGTTCTACAACTTCACGATGAACTGATTTATGACGTGACAGAGACCTGTCTGAGACAAGCAGCCAAGGTCATCAAACAGGAAATGGAGTCAGCCATGACCTTGTCTGTTAAAATGCCAGTCAAGGTCAAAAGTGGGTTGTCATGGGCAACAATGCAAGATCTAGAGGTGTGAAGTGGGTCGTCATGGGCGACAAAGCAAGATCTAGAGGTGTGAATAATGAACTTTATATGAAAAAATGTCACTTGGAGTCCATGACACATCATTGTACAGACATTGTGGACTCGAAAAATGCTGTGAAGAAAAATTTCAGACATTTTATGTTTGATATCATTTGATAACAAAACGGGTCTATATTCTGTGATATATGTGTTCTTCTTATTAAGGAAAAGTTGTTATTTCTGTTAAGTTGTTATGATTTGAATAAGCACCCTGAATCAAATTAGATTATTTATTTTTGAATGGATGTCTTAAATTTGTATTATACTAACAAATATATATTATACAGTCTCATTTGACCATATGTAATTTATATACAACTTTTAGGAATCTGATTTGCATAGAATGAAATACTGTAAGAACATAATTCTGATCAAGAATTTTGTGTGAATTACATAATTATATATATCTACAGAGGTAGGTATATTCCCATTATGAAGGGTTACAGATATGTATGTCACTCGTGATTTTTAACCTGTCTGTTTTGTTCTTGTTACTTGTGCATTTTCTGTCATAAACTGTGGAATATTTCCAGCTTGTTCTGTAGAAAAACTGAATCAGCTTTGACCATTTTGGGTTGAAAGCAGCAATAAATGAAGGAGATATTAAATTTTGAATCTTTTTATCTACATCTTTCTTGGATCTGAGGAATGAGACTAAAACCATTTAATTTTTTTATTAATTCAATGCATGCTTCTCAAGTGTAATATTATACAATCCTGAATCAAGCTAATTAATTGTTGGCATAATTATATTAAGGGGTGAACCCTCTTTGATGTAAAAACAATAATATTATAATTTATGATTTTTTGTAGTACTATCCATTCTCATAAAATTATATAAAAATTATATATTTCATATTGATTGATTGATTGATTACCATTCTTGTTGACAGAGTTTGCATTGTATTGAATAGTTGGGGGCCAAATGTATAAGGCCCACCCAATGGTAAAAAGTACCTGTGTTTTTTCCAATTTCATTGAAAAAAAATTCCCAAACCTTAAAAAGTGTTCAAACGCAGTCTTATTAAAAAAAAAAATCAAATTCTCAATATTGATTGATTGATTGATTGATTAACATCCTTGTGGAGAATTTTTCACTCTTCACTTGCCGGTGAAGAGTTGCAAATTTTGACCTATACTCGGCTCTCAGGGCCATTGAGCAGTAGTTTAGGTTCTTTATCGTGCCAATGCCTACCGTTACACGGGACCTGCGTTTTAAGGTAATATCCGAAAGACCCATGAATTTCACTTAACCTATACTTGGCACTCAGGGCCATGTAGGGAGGGACCTTTTTCGTGCCAGTACCTACTGCGAATTGAGACCTCAGTTTATACAGTCTCATACGAACGACCAGTCGGCATGCCCCAAAGTAGGATTCGATCCCGCGACAACTTACTTCGCGACTCTAAAGCAGAAGCTCTAACCACTGCGCAACGCGGGCGACAATAATATTGATGTCAGGGGACTGTGCCATCCACACAACAGTAAGAATTTAATTTCCAGCTTGTAGCAATTACAGATAATAAATGGTTTTCTAAAATCGCAAAATATTTTTCTTCATTTATATTACCGTTGAAAGGGCAAAGGGTTTAGTCAAAGTTAGCGTAAATCACAGTTTCGTCTAGAAAATGTAAATATGTCTACTTGATAGACCTAATTTTACCTTACAAAATATTTAGAATCCAGGAGCTTCTGGGGGATTCGCCACCTGGGCCCCCACCTTAAGGCGGCCCCCAGCCCCTTGCCTACTTTTGACGCCCCCTCTAACTTCCAATACCTGGATCCGCCACTAGGGTTCCAACTCCACAATATATGTAATACAAACCCACACCATAATATAGACACCCTTCTCTCATTCTCTATCCAGAGTTGTCGTTCCCGCTTCTTTTCCACATACACGTGTTGTGAGCGTAGCGGTAGATAACTCTCAGTCTGGATAGAGAATGACCCTTCTCTGTCGCGGAGAACACGTGTACTAGGGAAGTAACTCTTCTTTTGATGTTCTCCTAACGTTTACTCTATGGTTTTCACCCAGAAGTTGAGAATGATCTAACTTTCATCGGAGAAGATTACGGAGTTCCAATAATTAGTAACAGTATGTTTTCTCTTCTCCAAACACAATGACATGCGCTTCAGCTGACCTGTGACACAACCATCGTATTTTTCACTACTTGTCTCTCATATTCAGGTGAAAAATCTTTGCCTTGTCCGTGAATGTAGATCTATAAAACTACATGATGATTTACATCCTTACTTTGAACAGTAAGAATCATTCGTAATACCATTTAATACACGCTCCCTGTTCATTTTTGTGTGAGGAACGAGCCAGTTTCGACCCCGCTGTGACATCTTGTTTTGCATTCTCTCTTCTATCAGCTTTGCCTAAATATTTTTTTCCAGATTGATCTTATTGTAGATTCCGATATTCCTACTATAAATTTTCAATTTAAGATGTCTTTTTACCTTCTAACTTCATTTCAACAATCAATTTTCGTACATCGTCTGTTGATTTTCGGCCCATGCTTGTTTAGGATTTTACAAGAATGCAGACGACGGAACTACATTAACTACGTCACTTACCAGCGAAAGATAACTCTGAAAATTTCACTGGATAAATCAGCCTCGTTCAAAAGTTGTTTCCCTTTAAGATCAAGATCTACTACTAAATGAAAGGTACCTACAGGGATATCAAATTAGTCAAGCTTAAGGTGTTTCGGGGTATAATCACTGTGTAAACATCGTCTCAAGCCATGGTCCAGAGTCCGGATCGTCCATTTTGGCCGTGGTTTGTGACGATGCTGTGTAAAGGGGTCCCGGTTACATCATGTGGGGTTTCAACTCCGATTTAGCGATGATTTTTTTTATTTGGAAAATATATTTGTAAAAATTCTTGGCTAATAAATTCTTTGTGGCCAAATGACATGTGCACGGGTTG